GCAACTACTTCTACGTGTACCGCTCTACTACGTCTACAGTCCCGATACTGCTGCTATACATACCACGTTAAGTGCAACTACTTCTACGTTTACCCCTCTACTACGTCTACAGCCCCGATACTGCTGCTATACATACCACGTTAAGTGCAACTACGTCTACGTGTACCGCTCTACTACGTCTACTTGTACTGTTCAGACACTTGACCGTCTACACCGCCTCTGTTGTCTAGTGGATAGAGAGGAATGTTGATGGCCGCGTCAAACCAAAAGACTTCGAAATATTGTCATTTGTTGTTACCCTGCCCGACACTCGGCATCAAGTGAGTGAGTGAGTTAGGTTTAACGCCGCTTTTAACAGTATTCCAGTCATATCGCGGCGTGTCAGCTTAATGTGGGAGGAAAGCCGAAGTGATGCAGGTCTCAGACGTTTTCCACTTCGGTGAAACCTACGAGCACGGTGTGGTGCTGACAAACTTAGAAACATAATTTGGGCGAACCGGGATTCGAACCCGGTTCTGGCGTGCCCAAGGGACGCAACTCTGCACAGCGAATCGCGGCGCCCTAGACGACTCGGCCCTTCCCCCCCCCCCCCCCCCCCCCCCCCCCCCCCGTGCCCCCCGTGCCCCCCGTGCCCCCCGGCATTAAGTGGACAAAACAAAGACTGGTTAATACGGAGTCAAAATATTGTTTCTGAGTGGGCTAGCACTATAATTTAACGGCCACTCTGTCTCTCTCTCCCTTTCTTTGTTAGTATTCCGTGTCCCCCCCCCCCCCCCCCCCCCCCTCCCCAACAAACACTGTGTAAGATTGAAAACTATGATAAGGAGAATTAAGGGGGCCCTACTGCAAGTTACGTGATTAACACCAAACAGGAGACGAACACGGAAATTTCTGCTTCAGGCCTCCGTGTAACAAGGGAGGTAACTCTGCATGTCCTGTTTATCAGATTTCTCCGCGTCGATCGTGACTATCTTCACTCAACACAAGACCCACACTCATTGTATGTAACAGTGTCGGGGCAGGTTCTCAGTGCGTCCGATCCACACGTGCACGTCAACGGTCAACAAAAGAATGTCTATTTTACAAAGGGAAACTTCTGCAATGTACCTTTTGCAAGGCGAACGCATTATATGCAATATTTTTACCAAATGTCAGGGCTAACAATTAATATAGATAAAACAAAGGCTTTATGGATAGGCGCCCTCGCTGGGAGTAGATTAAAAATATGTGATCAGCTCAACTTGGAGTGGCACACTGGAGACTTTGAAGTTCTAGGTATTATTCTTAACCCGGAATTAAAGGATTTATGGGTAATCAATACTCGTAAAATATTAGAAAATATCACTAAACTTTTAGCAAACTGGAGAAAAAGGCATTTAATTATAACATTAATTGGGAAAATTACAGTTATTAAAACACTTGCTTTACCACAGCTAGTTCACATATTCACGACATTCCCAAATCCGCCCGATGCTTTTATTAAGAAATTAGATTAAAAAAAATTGATTTTCTTTGGAACGGAAAAACAGATAAAATAAAAAGAGAAAATATTAAAAAAAATATATAAAAATGGGGGACTAAGAATGCCTGATATTAAAACTTTTGTGAAATCTCTAAAGATCTCCTTTTTAAATAAATGTATTAAACATCAGAAATGTCAGCAATATGACATTCCAGTAAAAGATTTACTAAGATTAGGTTCAAATGCTTTTATCTACACAAAAGCTTCTAACCCTTATTGGAACAATGTTATTAAAGCTTGGTGTGAATATTTTGGAAAATATGAATTAGACATTTCTCTTATTGAAAACATTATGAATCAACCATTATGGTTAAACCACTACTTAAATTCCCCAAAGTTTTTCATAAAAGATTGGTATAATAAGGGTATTTGGTCCCTAAAACATATTTGTCAGGGAAATAGATTTATTCCATTTGAAATTCTAAAAGAAAGATACAATATTAAAGGGACCTTTTTGCATTATGTTCAACTTATTTCAATTATTCCCCAAGCATGGAAAACAGCAATTAAAAAACAATTTGATGTAGATTTATACTTTGACATGTATATTCTTCCTTAGGACTTATTGATTTGTAAAAAAGGTTCAAGACACTTTTATGATAAACTTATTTTTTCTGACTCACAACCTAAAATATGTAAGAAATGGGAAATTGAATTTGGTGAATGCTTAGAATGGGCTATTTTTTTTGTCTCTTTTAGAAAAGACATTAGAGATATAAAATCGATAGATTTTCAATTTAGATTTCTGCATAGAATGATATATACAAAAAAAGAACTTTATAAAATGAAACTTGTCGATGATGATTTATGTGAATTTTGCAAGATAGAGAAAGAAAACTTGATGCATGTATTTTATGACTGTGAACATGTGTTCGAATTCTGGCAAAACTTGGAGTCTTTCTTGAATTCTGTTGGAAATAATCATATACTTTTTACAAGATTTAATGTATGTTTTGGTGAAATAAGTGCAAAACCTGCAAATAATCATATTATTATGTCAGCTAAGAGACACATTTTTATTTCTAGTTTAAAGAAAAGGAAACCCTCATTGGACGTTTTTAAACAAGTATTAAAAGATGCTATTTATTTGGAATATCTGTCAGCAAAAACTAATAATAAGCTTGGCACTTATAACAAAAAGTGGATTTTGTATTATGGTTTACATGATGCCTTGAATCTTACATAGATTGCTGACTGTGTGTTAATATGGATTGTTTCCAATCTCTCTGACTCTATTGCCAAAGAAAGACTGGAATGTTTTTCCAAGAATAGGATTACAATACTATAATATGGTACTGTTTATAATATTCTTTTATTATTAGCTTATCTTTCTATGATTGCTCATAAATACTACTTTCATGCCAGAACATCTAGCTCGATCCTACACGATCAAGGCCTATCCTCCAAATATGCGGTGCCAAAATGTTAATAATGCTATATATGTATATATCACTGTGTATGTAACCACTGAAACTGGAATAAAAATGATTTGAAAAAAAATATATATATGGTGGTGTAGGGCATTGCTCATGCTATCACTGACTGTTTTACCTGGTCCAGGCTGGAATATTCGCAGGCCGCCATGATATAGCTAGGGTATTGCGTGTCATCGTGCTCGAGCGGTGAAGGACATTGCTCGTGCTATCACTCACTGTTTTACCTGGTCCAGGCTCGAAAATTCGCTGGCAGCCATGATATAGCTAGGGTATTGCGTGTCATCGTGCTCCGGTGGTGTAGGACAATGCTCATGCTATCACCCACTGTTAAAACAGTGGCTTGCTGGCCGCTATAGTATAGCTAGGATATTGCCGACTGTGGCGCACAAACCAATCATGCATATGCAAAGACATGATTGCATGAAGCTCGTGTATCTATCTGACAACAATTTTGATTCATGATTAACGAATAATGGCACACAAAATAACTTTACATATAAACATAAAAATATTATGTCGTAAATCAGCAAACAACAAAATATGTAGCACTCAAGCCGAGCCAAATAAATCCCCATGCCAGCTTGACCCTTCGGGTTTTTATGCGATTGCGACTCGAGAAGGTAATTAAAGGTGAGGTGAAATGGGGTTGAACGTCGCGTCCAAGATTACTGTACTTATATAGAGACGCGCATGTACGTGTGTGTGGCTGTTTGTACTAGTCCGGACTGATGCCGATTTATAGTGCTAGCTCACTGAGATACCATGCCGCAGTTTAACATGAATACCCCACTCAAACACAGTATACTGACTCCGAGCCGACCAGTCCTTGTTTTAACCGAGCGCCAGGCAGGGTAACAACAAGTACCATCTTTTAACGTCTTTTTATGACGCGGGCGGGGATCGAACCCCGGACCTTACACCCTCCGGACGGACGCTCTACCACTAGACCACGGGGGCGGTAGAAGGTAATGAAACTCTCAGTTGAATGTATATGTGTCACCGGGCCACAACGGTAAAGGATATCATCGTTCGGTCTTACGTTACTCTTATTGTTATGAAGTAACGGACGTCCGGCCAGCGGGTACATGCTTGAGCAATAGCTCCACACAGTCTCTGCTTCTCCTTCCTTCCTCGTTGACACGCCAGCTCCATATGTACTGAGGGTCAATAGGGACGGGTATATCCTGGTGTATTCATACAAACAACGCATGTTGTATTCCACCCTGATACTAGGGAAGGAAGCGCACCTGTTGGCCATTGTCATATTCTACTCAGGTTGCCTGGGATTTTTTAGAGACAAAAACATTTTTCTTTACTTTTAATTTCTTTTTGGGGTGGTGGTTGGGCGAAGGGTGTCACTGGTTAAAAAACAATTACTTTTTTATGAAGGAAAACGGCCGTTCAATATACTTTTTGCTCTAACATGTTTGTTTTTCCAGGACCGCCTATGTATTTAAACCCCATTTCACCTCATCCCCAGCATTGGGCGGTCGGGTAGCCTAGTGGTTAAAGCGTTCGCTCGTCACGCAGAAGACCCGGGTTCGATTCCCGACATGGGCACAATGTGTGAAGCTCATTTCTGGTGTCCCCCGCCGTGATATTGCCGGAATATTGCTAAAAGCGGCGTAAAACCATACTCACTCACTCATCCCCGGCATGATTCAAATGATTCGTTCCTGAACAAGGAACAGTCAAAGGTTTAAAATTATTTCTCAGTGTGTCTGATGTGTATATGTTGAAAAAAGTCTGTGGATAAATGACATAACGCTAAACATATTTCCGTCCAATCAAATCACCCTCATGAGCGAAAACGATTTTGTGCAAGTGGTCCCTGGACCAATAGGCTGTCATAAACAACACGTCCTTGGCATTTTACTTTGAACTGTTTGACACATTGGTATACATTGTATCACTAATGCGGGTATAAGGCTTGACACATTGGTATACATTGTATCACAAATGCGGCTACCAGGCTTCACACATTGGTATACCACTAATGCGGGTATCCGGCTTCACGCGATTAAAAAAACCAGATCACATTACATATCACATTACGTGTTTATTCATGTATGAAGCTCCGCACATATATTAACATATAAAAGAATATTGCATTGCCTATATCATTTCAACAACAATGGACGGTTTGTTATGTAGTTCCCAAATATACATCTCAGGGAGGATTAATTGCTCTGTTGGTAATCACAATTTGAAGGCACGCCATGGAAATATGGCAATAAAACAGGGTGTTTTACTTTGCAGATGTCGTTGTAATTGCTAACGATGACGGACGTAAATCAGATTTGAGCTTTTCTGGAGCACATACAATGAATCATACAAACTTAAGTCGTCGAGAGTTCAACTCACTCTCATCCCAGATCATAGAATTATATAAAGCCTAAGGGACGCAACCCTGCACAACAAACTGACAATAGGCAGCTAGGTCACCCGTGTCTCTTCAAGGCCGAGGTAAATAAAAATATATACATATTCATAATAAGGTTCGACTGTACATGAAATGCACTGTCTTAGCACTTTGCTTGAATAACTGCATATTATGCATATCTGCATGTGAATAGCATACAACTGTCTGAGTGAATACAGCGGTGAGTCAGACCTAACAATTCTTTCAGTGGGGTTTCAGTGATGATTCAATAACCCGTGATTTTGTCAGATCCCACCTTTAGAAGAGAAACAATGATAAACCGTGTTAAAATACTTGTGAGTAAATAGAATCATGGCAACACTTACACTGGTATTACTTTATCAACTAACCCATCACATAATACTTTCCAAAGCAACCACAGCTCTACACGGAATGGGAGACACACGAACAACTCGTCTCAACTCAACTCATGTCCATAAATATCTCTCTGGTTCTCTTTTCGCTTTCCTCGTCTTTCACAACTGTCTGTTAAATTCGTGTGACCAAACATCACAGGACCATGGAGCCAGTTTGGTCATGAACTCCTCTTCAAGGCAAGAGACCACGTCACACGCTGAGACAGGGGTCTCTTCTGCGGTTCTCCAAACGTCAACCCACGTTACGTGTTGTGAAGCTGGACATCTCGAGTGTTTGTCACTGCCGGACAATCTTCAAAAGTTCAATGTCAGGAGCTGTTTCAATGAACATTTGTTCTCAAGGACTGTGGTTTCCCAATGACCACACGGGATCGCCAGAATTTGATTCCAGGGATTCCCCAAAGAGTTCAAGATGCCTTCTTCCGAATGGTATGTGAATATTTGACCCTGAGGGGTTTTCTGAGCTTCACGTGAGAGAACTGTTGCCACCGCTTGCCTCTACTGTGCTCAGTTGGGTTGACATCCGGCCCTTTCAATCCTTCTCTCATGTAATGTTCCACTAATTCTTTGAGGTTGTCGAAATCCCTGCCGCCAGGAAAAATGTAGAGGCGAACCCGGGTGCCATGCTGACGCTCGAAGATTAGATAGTTACGTAGTGCATTCAGATGGCTGGAAAAACGAAAAGAATCCTATTAAATCTCCGCCATGTATGAAAATACAAATATAAAAGCAAGAAGGAAATAAGAACAAATCTTCCTCAATAGTCATTGAAGAAAATCCTTTAATGAATTAACTACTATATACACGCGTATCAGAGACCCGTCCATGATCACAAGTAAATGTTTACATGTGTGTCTTTGACATTCACCAGTTCAGTGGAACCCTACAACACTGGTATGGTGATGACAAACACAGAAACATAACCGCGGCAAATCTAGGATAGGAACACACGATCACAGGCTTCTGGCACACCTAAGGGAAGCAACTCTGCGCATCACAACACAATTATGACTTACCTAACGGTGATGACGTATTGTCTTTTGCGCCCAATCCACCAAACAATGAAGTTGCCATCTTCCTGCTGGTACCGTTTCATGGTTGAGCAGATCTGGTTAAAGAAATTTTAAATGTATAAACACATCAGAAGATCTTTACTTCTTTTGAAAATACAGTTTTAGAATGCAATGAATTTGTTTTGTAGGTATATGAAATTGTTTAAAAAAATAAGGGTTCACCGCTATTAGTGTCAGAATAAACATTTCTGTTTGTCTTTGATATGTTTTCTATCATGGTACTTTACGAATGAAATGAAATAAACCAATAGTCGTAAGACCTGACCAGTGCAAGAACCGGGATATGTACCTGAGTCTCTATCTGTGCTTGTCGTAAGAAGCGACTAACAGGATCGGGTGGTCAGGGTCCCTGACTTGGTTGATGCATGTCACCGATCCCAATTTTGTGGAATATTGCTGAGTGCGGCGTTAAACAACCAACAAACTATCATCTCTATCTAATATTCCAGCTATATGACGACGGTCTGTGAATAATCAAGTCCGGACCAGATAATCCAGTGATGGTATCATGAGAATCGATCCACGCATTTGGGATACGATGACATGCATCAACCAAGTGTAGCGAGCCTGACCTCACGATCCCGTTAGTCGCGACTTACGACAAGCATAGTCGCCTTTTACGGCATGGGTTGCTGAAGACCTATTCTACCCCGGATCTTCACGGGTACCCTCCTTAATATGGCTGGTATAATATGCATGAGGCGTGACATGCAACACACTCATTATCTGAATAACTGCTAAATCCAAAATAACTAAACATAATCAGTGTCTCAAAAGTCCCTGAAATGTAAATATACCTGTTTCTTACCGATTCTTCCGTTTCCTGTGGACACCACCCGGGCACTGCATCCAGATCACATAAATCCCTGACGATAGGCCTGTCATGGCTTGTCCTCAGTCTCTTCATTGGTATCGGTGGAGACGGTGTAGGTGGGAGAGACCGAAGCTGGTTCTGGGAGATGTCATCAATGTAAGTATACTGTGAGTCATCAGGTACACCCTCTAGGTATTCCATATCATTAGCACTCCAGTGTCGGTTCATTGGGATCGGTTGTTTTTTGGGTGGAAACTTGGTCATCTGCTGCATGTCAGAGTAGGATGCATCCTGTTCTTCATCTTCAGCACTGAATCGTGCGTACACGAGTCCATCTGAGTTCATCTGAGATGGCATTTCTGCAGGCATGCTCTCCGACCGATTCATTGCCATGTACTCGCTTAATTGCACATGGGGTAATCCTTGTGGTGGGTTGACGCCTGAAGAGGTTGAGAACCCAAAATACCCATTGCTGCTCTGTTGAATCACTAAAGCGACTGTCTGGTGTCTATTAGAATTTTCACTCTCCGTTGAACTCTCCATAGGCTCACCCTCCATTGCACTATCCTGTTTAGATGTCATTGACCCACTGTTTCCTCTGTAACTAAGGTATCCATCAGCATCAGTGTCTATAACAGTAAAAGCTGAAGCATCACTACTCGATCTGCTACGACTGTCAGTATCAATTTCCATCAGCGAACTCTGCGATGCAAATGTTGCATAGCCATGGCTGTCCTTTGAAACAACACACTGAGCAGGAGGTCTCTTAAACTCGTCTGGAACTGACTTTGGTCTCTCCTTCTCTTCCTTACTGTCTCTTTTAGCAGGAACAGTAATGGGTTCACCTTTCTGCCTTAACACAGGAAGAGAATGCGACCCATGCATACCCTGGAGTTCTCCTTTCTCCTGAGCCACAACATCTATATAACCATCCTTCCTTTGCTGAAGAACACACGGCTTGGGCTTTACATTCGTCATAGGCATTCGTGGGAAGGAGGAAGGTGGGGGCATTCTGTCATGACTAACATAAATTTCATTTTTCACACATGGCAAAGGCTTTGAATGAGGCATAGATGATGCCATAGAGCTTGGGCTTTCTGGACGAAATGTCGCAGACTGGTTTGAAAATCGGAGCACAGGGTGTGTATGAGGAACGTAATCAGACACTTTTGGTGTGTGCCTATTTGGCTTAGAGTCTACTGACTTCCTCTGCGGCTCACATCTTTTCATTAGTGTAATGTCATCCTCATCCTCAAAGGATGCGGATCTGAAATGATCAGGTTCGAATAGGTACCCTTTTGGGTAAGTACCCGAGGGCAGTGTTCTTAGAGTCGGATACGATTCAACCACTGAGCAAGATGGCTTCTTCAACAACGTTTGACGGTCCACATGTGATGAACTACATGACCATTCAAAACTTGGGAAATGATGCGGACTTGAGTTTGAGGAGCTTGGCAAGTTCTGACAAGGCAACGGCTTTATTGCAGATTCTCTCTCTGAGAGATTATTGTATCTGTCGTAAGTTTCAGGATGAGCATAACCTGTATTTGAATGGACTTTGGGTGCAGTGACAGAACATAGATTGTTAGATGTTGATGCTTCATCTGTCACTGGTATATTAAAAGGGAGCGATGTTGCCTGGGAAGTGGAACGGTATCCAGGGTCGTACCCACTTGGGTAACTTGGTGCACCCTCAGCCACACATGGTTTTGGAGTAGATATCTGGAAGCTGCCATAGACGCTTCTCTCGGATTCATCTGTAATTTCTCCTTTCTTAACAGATAGCTGTGTTCCCTGAAATAAAAGCGAGTTTAAATAAAATTAATAATTAAAATAAAAAAGTCTTCGCATCAAGAACAAATCTACAAAACAACATGACTGAATAATTAGTTCGAGTGGTAGAATTGTGTGAGTGGCGGTTGTACTTGTAGGCAGGATATCCTTACCCTTTTCGCGAACACCTGGCGCCAACACTGATTTTAAGAGATCCATGTATAATTTTGACTGCTATTTTGCCTTTTCTGTCCAATGGAATCGTGACTGATAATTTTTGGATTTTTTAAAAATTTCAACCCATTCTTATATCCACATATCTTAATCCGTGTAGTTTCATCAATGATCATGCTATTAGTTTCCACTTAATTCTGTGTCGTGAAGTTCAAAATAGTCCACAACGCTCAATGAGCCTAGACGCGCGGGGGCATTTAAGCTCGGTCTAAAGACCTGAGGTAATTTATACAGGCCACCTCACGAAATGCGTGCATTATTATTCGAGCAGCCAAAGAGACAATCCTGTGTGAGTTCGGTCTGAAGACCTGAGGTAATGTATACAGGCCACCTCACGAAATGCGTGCAATATTTTTCGAGCAGCCAAAGAGACAATCCTGTGTGAGCTCGCGACTCAAAGGTAAACAAGTCCCGTTACAGGGTAAGGATAGTTACAGAATAGTTAAAGACACGAGATCTGTTCTGTTTACAGGTAAAACAGTAACGCCATTATTATAAACATACCGAGTAAATTATTACATATTCTTGCTATAATAATTACATTGGTGCACAAACGACGTAGAAGTTAAGTATAGTTGGCAATTGTTATTGGTATGTGCTCATATATAATCAACTAACTCAGTTAACATCGCAATATCATATTAATCATTACAAAGTAGCAAATATCAATAAAGAAGAACGTGACATGACGGTGATAATGTTATTCTAACTCTGTGTAAGCGATTGATGACATACAATATAATATCAGTGTAAGGGACCCCAGGCATACAATAAGAAAAATGTTGATTGTACCTTAAGATGATAAGCAGGCGTTTGCCAGGTTATCTTGGGGTTTGGACCCGTAATAACGTAGCTTGGCAGGCCCGAGAGAACGTTTTCTAGACTTGCTGCCAAAGAAGAATCCTTCTTGGTGGTCACCGACAGGTACTTGAACTGTCCTCTTTCGTCTTCAATCTTGACGTTAAGCTGCATGGAATGTAAATCTGAAAGGGAAGGGTTCACAATCGTTTACAGTTATTTAACAACATCCATGCAGTGTTATATCTTCCCATCGGTGTCGGCACACCTTCATAACACGTGCCCTGCTTTTCAAACACATTGTCCAACAGAAGCTTCTATCTTCGTGTATGAGTAATAGTTGTTTGCAAATACCACTTCAAAATACCTCCATTGTCTACACCATGGATAGTTCAGGTATTCACTCAAAACAGAACATTTCGTTCCAGGTCAGTAGTTTTGAGACCGACTGGGCGTGCTCGCGGTTGGGGATTGACACAGTCCTCTGTAATTACATACATGTATAAGGGGTCGGGCTGACCTTTGACGAGTTGAAGGGACGTATCGGATTTAATGCTGGGGCAATTCACTGACATAGACACATATATAAAGACCATCTGACACATGCTGCTATTTAGGAAGGCGAAACTACCAATGATAGCTGAAGTCATTAACAATTCAAATCAGTTTGCTTTGAGTGTGACGGACCTGCCTGCACATTGTTGGATTAGAAACGGAAACAAATAATAAATACATAATCAAGCATCCTAAAATATGAGGTAAAGGCAAGCAAAAAAGTAATATTTTCACCAACACACCGAATTTCATTTTCAGCGTTGTTGCAGCGGCGTGTTTTCTGCAAAGGAATCTTCTATGCTACTTGAAGGAGGGCGATACAACGATCCCATTATTAAGCCTTCAGACAAAGCAGAGCAGGGTCGTATAACTACGGATATCTACGTCACAGGACCTGGCACTCGTTCCCAGGGTCATAAGGGGTCAGATGTAAATCACGTTTTGCCCTCGCTCTCCACTCTCTCCCCTCGGCTGTGCATGCAGCCTGTGTGGGCATTCCCCAGCCCGTGCATTCCCCAGAAATAAACAGCCCACATCATTTGTGATAGGAAAGGACACTGGGAGGTGTTGAAGAACAATGGTATAGCCTGCATGCTGTCAGGTGCCGGGGGGCGTTTCATGTCAGATGTTTTGATAGATACTGTATATTTCCCTAGCTCACAAGGACATGATTTAAATGCATCATGGCTACTGCTGACTCTGGTCGTATCACGAGTTGTTTGCACAGGCGTCGATCTATTTCCTTATGAAATGAATTTATGTGTACCGCACTTTATTCCCGGAAAAAGGGAAGTTAGACCATTCCTCAATAAATTATGTGTATTTTTTTTCATGGATAGTTCATGGTGACTCAATGATAGTGATTAATAAACATATGCTTATAATATAGACGTGCTCTTTAGCACTCGGAACGTGTACTCAACAGGCGTCATTCAAAATTAGCATATCTTTTTTGGCTTTAACAAAATCAGTAAATGCGCTTAAGTGTTACTGGATTTCTGGTCCATCACTTGATTGTCTTGTTGACCCTAGAAGGTCCGGGTTAGAAATGGTCTTCAGCAACCCACGCTTGCCATAAAAGGCGACTACGCTTGTCGTAAAAGGCGACTAACGGGATCGGGTGGTCAGGCTCGCTGACTTGGTTGATGCTTGTCATCAGTCCCAATTGCGTGGATCGATGCTCATGATATCAATCACTGGATTGTTTGGTCCAGACTCGGTTATTTACCGACCGCCATCATATACCTGGAATATTGCTGAGTGCGGCCTAAAACAACCAACCAACCAACCAAATGTTTGTCAGGCAGCAAACACATTTTTTGTGTGGAAGTTGTGCGAGTTGCGGGTGCTACCTGTAGAACCGGATATATGCTTTACGCGAACACCTGGTGTCATCACTGATTTTCCGTGATCCTTTTATATACTTTTAACTGTAATTTTGCCTTTAATGCCCAATGAAAATTTTTTGTCAGATGGTCGAGTCTAGTCATACTCTGACGTTAATGTTATATATTAACATGGTTTCGTCTCTTTTCTTTACTCACATTTCACATCAAATCACAACACCCCAACCAAACCCATATATATTGTTTGTTGTTTAACGCCACACCAAGCAATATTCCAGCTATATGACGGCCGTCTGTAAATAATCGAGTCTGGACCAGACAATCCAGTATACATTGTTTGTTGTTTAACGCCGCACTCAGCAATATTCCAGCTATATGACGGCGGTCTGTAAATAATCGAGTCTGGACCAGACAATCCAGTATAAATTTGTTTGATGTTTAACGCCGCACTCAGCAATATTCCAGCTGTATGACGGCGGTCTGTAAAAAATCGAGTCTGGACCAGACAATCCAGTATACATTGTTTGTTGTTTAATGCCGCACGGAGCAATATTCCAGCTACATGACGGCGGTCTGTAAATAATCGAGTTTGGACCAGACAATCCAGTATACATTGTTGTTTAACGCCGCACCCAGCAATATTCCAGCTATATGATGGCGGTCTGTAATTAATCGAGTTTGGACCAGACAATCCAGTGATTGAGATCATGAGCATCGATCCACGCAAATGGGATACGATGATATGCATCAACCCATCAGCAAGCCTGATCAACCGATCCCGTTGGTCGCCTCTAACGACAAGCATAGTCACCCTTTACGGCAAGCATGGGTTGCTGAAGACCTATTCTACCCCGGATCTTCACGGGTCGAAGTTAAATTAACAACAGTTATATCAATGCTATGTTTTTGAACGACGTTATCACACAAAATAATGGCCACTGTTGTTAGCTTTGTAATTAAAAATCATGTTAAAGGTAAAGAAGGAAGTTTCAAGAGGCAGATAATTTCTTATACGTACAAAATCCATCTGTAAAACACTGTATCACATTTGTTTCGACGGCACCCAAACGCGTTCATCCAGATCGACAACTTCTCGCTAAGTAATATTCCCAGGAGGAAATGGAAAATCAATGTTAAAGGTGAACATTTCCTGTAAAAGGCTTTTCTGAACAACCACTCCGTCCCGTAACCGGCCATTGTGCGGTTGGGTTTTACCATAAACTCGGTTTGTCATTAACACCTGCCGGGTGAATGCCATATCCGGTTTAACCTGAATCCTGTTACGGCTGCAAGCTCCATGCATGACATGAATCACGTGAATGATTATGAATAAGGGTGTTCTTGAAAGTGAAGGTAATGTGCACATTTAAACAATTTCATTTCCATAGATTTATATATGGTTCAAACTTTCTCAAGCGAAGATTGTCAAGTGTAAAGAAACATACTTAGTTATATACAACGAGTTTGCCTTTTACGCCAACAGAATCTGTGTCGGTCTGGCGTTAATGTTTTATATTATTTTGTAACATTTTCACATAAGCTGAGACAATAGTTTCTTCTTAATCTAGGGATGTGAACATTAGCCTAAACCTTTTAAAGAAGGACTAACGAGGTCAGGATCGGTAAACATGTAAGAACAGCAGAGTGGGCAAGCGGTCAAAAGCGCCATGCTAGCAAGCGCCGGGTGCTGAGATCTATCCCGCTAGTGCCCGGGTTGTTATTCAGCCTTGGGACGAATGTTTACAGGTCTTTACAGTGTTGTCACTACCCCTAGTGTACAGTACATACACCCTGTGCACTCAAAAGAACCCACTCGTCCGATTGTAGATGAGTGAGTGAGGGAGTTTTGTTTAACGCCGCTTTTAACAGTATTCCAGTTATATCGCGGCGTGTCAGCTTAATGTGGGAGGAAAGCTGGAAGTGATGCATGTCTCAGACATTCACCGCTTCGGTGAAACCCACGAGCACGGGTATGGTGCTCACAAACCCTGAAACTTAAACGGGGCGAACCGGGATTCGAACCCACAATCATAGGTTTCTGGTGTGCCTAAGGGTCGCAACTCTGCACAGCGAATCGCAGCGCCTTAGACGACTTGGCCACCCGTGCCACCCGTGCCACCTTAGACGCCTGGACCACCCGTGCCACCTTAGACGACTGTGCCACCCGTGCAACCTTAGACGACTGTGCCACCCGTGCAACCTTAGACGACTGTGCCACCCGCGCAACCTTAGACGACTGGACCACCCGTGCCACCTTAGACGACTGGACCACCCGTGCAGTTTAAAACAGCAATGGTTAGTTCCTCTTGTATATAGACGTGAAGGTTATTCAATTGTCGTGTTTCATCAAGTTCGTACGGAGTTTTAAGACAATTGTTTGAGTCATAAGATTTGTAATTAATCAAATTTTCCTGCCGTCCTCAACACGAGTTGTGCTAAAACACCTACGCTAAACTCAACCACGCTGAGTCTCAAGACTCTGGAGAATAAATCAAAAAGGGAGTCCAACTCAAGTCTAGAATGATTTGGCAAGTCTAGATTGTCTCAGCTCTACTCAATTAAGCATTCTTCTGGGATCCGTTCAGATTTTAGTTTTACGTATTTTGTACATGTTTATTCATAAATAATACAACTTTAATTCTGGGACTATATATAATGTTAATCTAGACCTAAATATGTAGTATTGCATACGTTAATCCATATTGTCGCGGATATGTTATGTATCTACTACTACCGCCTCCGTGGTGTAGTGGATAGAGTGTCTGCCTGGAGAGCGGAAGGCCGATGGTTCGGTCCCCAGGCCGCGTCATAACACAAGAGGACCGCCTCCGTGGTCTAGTGGTAGAGCGTCCGCCCGGAGAGCGGAAGGTTCGGGGCTCCATCCCCGGCCGCGTCATACCAAAAGACGTTAAAAGATGGTACTTGTTGTTACCCTGTCTAGCGATCGGCATTAAGGGGTTGAAGCAAGGACTGGTCGGCTCGGAGTCAGTATACTGTGTCTGAGTGGGGTATTCGTGTTAAACTGCGGCATGGTATCTCAGTGGGCTAGCACTATAAATCGGCATCAGTCCGGACTAGTACAAGCAGCCACACACACACACACACACACACACACACACGTGCATGTACGTCGCTATATAAGTGCAATAATCTTGGACGCGACGTTAAACCCAATTTCACCTCACCTCACATAACACAAGATGGTACCCGCTGTTACCCACCCGGCGTTCGCGTGAAGGGGATAACACAAGGGGTGGAGTCAGCACAACCCGTCTGAGGGGGTATCCATGTTGAACTGCGGAATGATATCTCAGTGGACTAGCACTATAAAACCGTCAGTCAGGACTAGTACATGCACCCACACACGTGCCTGCACGTCGCTGTGTAATTGAAATAATCTTGAACGCGAAGTTTAACGTTTCTATCTCACCTGAACATAATCTAAAATATTCATACTTACTTGTATCACCCCAAACGTCACCATTGTTTGATCTAACATAGCCTCTGCCTGAAGCCATCACCAAGGCCTGGTACATTCTTACGCATGCATGACTCGTATTACCACATCTATACTAGCAGCAACAGCTGTTACTGTAGGCGTGTCCAGGTATGTATTGAAAGTCTCCATAGAAACACACTTGTTCGGTCAATATGTAGTCAGACACACACGTTTCCATAACTGTACTAAGGCTGTGATCATCTATACTGTGTTTGTTTTGTTTGTTTTTTATTTAACGCCGCACTCAGCGATATTCCAGCTATATGACGACGATCTGTAAATAATCGAGTCTGGACAAGACAATCCAGTGATTGACGTCATGAACATTGATCCACGCAATTGGAATACGATAACATGCATCAACCAAGTCAGCGAGCCTGACCTCCAGATCCCGTTAGTCGCCTCTTAAATGCATTGTCAACTTTTACGGCAAGCATGTGGGTTGCTGAAGACCTATTCTACCCCGGATCTTCACGGGTCTCATCTATGCTAATTAGACATGATATACCTGTATATCGTGATTGTGATAGTAGCATTCATGTGCCTTTAACAATGTATATACGTCCATAATTACCCAATCTCCAGAGAAATCAATTTAGATTGCGTGCGTATTGACCGCGAAACAACCACGGGTTTTAATGTGTACAGTGCGAGACATATACCCTTAGGTTGATAAATGCCTTGTTCTGAAACTCATTAACCTTGGCGTCTTACTAATTACTCAAATTAACATGTAGTGAGTCATACTTGGCTTTCGGCCTCGCAACGCAACACATTCGCTTTATACTGATCTCCTTGAATATGTTGCCTATGCACGTATAACGCATGAGTCATTTCACTAGTTTATTAATGCTATTGATTGTGTTTGTATGTGTGGCACTCTCTATCCCAGCAGTTTAACGAGGCAGCCCTGCATCATGGCATCCCTGTTGCTAAGCTACAGGTAAATCATTGATTCGGAGGGACATGCGCAGTCAACTGATAGCAAATTCCAGTCAGGGCGTGGTCCTCATGCAAGCTTAAGGGTACTCCATGACACGAGGTCGTTACAGTGTCTGGGCAAATAGCTGATCGTGATCACGATGGCTTCCTTCGATGTAATTGATCAATTTACTAGAAATGCATAATTATACCAGAGACCATATAATTATATGGTCTCTGATTATACGTACAATAAGTACGATGTAACACCCGCTCGTATTGTTTCAATATCATAGAAATACAGATGTTACTAATTGAAGCACGCTCATTGATTTTAATATTTAAGTGTTTCGTATAAGAAGTAATTGAGTTTGTAGTGCATCTATATATATGTTTGAATAAAGTCTATGAAAATGTATTAATACACATCTTCAACACATATATTGTTTACCGAAGCTTAAACACTTCCCGGTGGTTATTTTATAGACACGGAGACAATTGTAACATGTTGTCATGTTGAACTTTAAAATCGACATTATAAATACTAAATTTCCGCTCTGTAGATTACTGTAAACGGTTAGCGTGTCAGATTGTAGATTTGAGTGCATAGTATTCGAAGCTAGTCATATGTCGATGAGTCACACAATAAAGTCAACATTACTGTGCTGCAGTACACGACAGGACATAATTTTATCCCCATGCATGTAGACATACATCTAACGTGCACCCGGAAGATGGGACAACTGTCCCCCTATTTTAAAGTATACTAGAAACATTATGCATTTTGAAGTTTTATAGGTGATCGGCTGTAAACGTATAGCATTTCTACAACTTATTTGGTGATATGTTGCAACAAAAATAATACGACTACCTAACTACATATGTGCATTCATTTAGATTGTATGTTAAGTGTCATCCCAGATGAAAAAAACCCAATGTATCCGCTCTTGCTGTTATAATATCATATTATGACACGTGTAAAAAACACCATACAATAATCTGTATTATAAATAACATTCCATATGATTTGTTCATAAAAACCTTGCACTTTACAGATGGGTTTATTAAGTGAAAGACAGGATCATATATCTGTGTGCTTTATGTCGGATAAACGATTATATGAGATTGAAAAGCATTTGATCGTGTTTGTCTTGTCAAATACAATTTCAAACAAAAAGAGATTTCAAAGGAAATGATAATCAGTTAACGGTTCTAATTCATTAATAAGTCATTGATATTGACCACAATAATGGAATTACATATTCATTCAACAATAGTAAAATATTAACATGTAAATTCTGCAGGTATTTTTTGTTTTTGAATAACCATTATAATCAATAACAACAATCTCTATCACCAATTTCAAAAAGGCCCATCAGTAATATTTATATGTACAGTTCTGTGTCTTTAAGCTCAAACAATAAGCGACATAAGGAAATCAATGAGATAGCAATTCCCAGGACATGCTTCCTGTCGCAAGTTACCTAACATTATCGTAACAGCGGCATGAACACCAGGAAGTGATATCGGTAACAGCTCGTCAATTCCATCCACTCTATTGTTCGTGCTCATGGCGATTATCTGCCAACACGGCCAGTTGTCACTCCAGCGTATAATGTACCCCTGGGTGGTTACAGCCATACTAAATCCTATTAGACCTTTTGCAGTGATTTACTAATGCTTCGTGAAGATTGTTTGTAATGTGGATTACATTTTTAAGCTTCATGATACAGAATTGTCTTTCATTGTTAAGGTCAAACACCTTTAACACAGCGTATGTAATAATAAAAACAATTTGTGTGAATGGTAGAGTGAACAATCGAGGCAGCACAAGCTGATACTGTCCAAATGTTCAATTTTCTCATGTGTAATCACATCACAACGCTGCAAAGAAAATTAGATAATAAATATCTCTAAAATAAATGTATTTCTCCTGATATGCAGTGGGAGATTTTGAGCACATTTTTTGTGTGCAATGTTCATGTTTCAGAAGACAATATTGGCATAACCTGTCTTCAAAGGGTATGTCATAGAGTATACCAATATTCACTGCATGTCTAAAGCTAAATGTAAACATAATTTCATGATCTATAAATCTTCATTCAACCTTTCACCAAGGGAATACACGGTATTTGTAGTTTCAAAGTAATATTTCTTGTCACGGTGGTCAATATACGGAATGAAAGCGAAGGGCGTATCTGTCTACTCTACAAGCGCGTTATCCGTTCATCATTTCCGAAATGACTAAATGACCCTTCATAGGGTTTGGTCGAGTTACGTTTGGTGTTCGAAGAAATGTGTTACAGATAACCATTTAGAATCATGAGTCAGTTCAGTTCGACCTACTGTTCTATTATTAAAACCCCGATGAACAAATCCTTTCCCTTCACCCAAACATCAGCTTGTGTGTAACCAAATATTATGAGCATCACGTCAATTAGATTTTTATATTGAATTCATGATCATTTGAACGATATGAAAAAATCAACAAATAGCGCGTTACTTTGTAATATTTGAAGTGTAAAATAAATAAATAATATATTTCAATAAAGATATATAATAGAAGAAATAATTCTGGTTCCTGAGGTGATTAATTAAGAATACCTGTAAAGAATTCATGTTTTCATGGAAAATTCATTGGGAGTAAGGATTCCAAAGGAAACAATGAAATGAACTCGAGGAGAAGAATGAATAATTCATGACATTGGTGTGGCATTGTCACTTGTCATTGTTATTATGAATGACTCATAGAAAACGATTTTTCTTATGAAACTGTGCCTATACATTAATTGATTATTGCCTTAATTTCCCGTTCTGAAGACAGTCGTGTTTGGATAGAACTCGCAGCATTGTTACAAACAGATCGAAATTTCTCTTTGTGAAAATTACATGCCATTATTGAGATTGATCAAGCATGGCCAAGCAAATATTATAAATACAAGCGACGAAAACATTTCAATAATCATCAGAAATCTCTTCTGGAAGCAGAGTCCATTGTACGATTCTGACATGGGCATGCGTTTATGAATCACTGTGAAATATTGATGTACCAGGTGTTTGCGAAAAGATGATCATATCCTGCCCTAAGGGTGGACCCCGTCACAAACACATGCACAGGCAGGTCAATTATTCAAATGTGTTAACACTGGAAATTTTATTTTTATTTTGTCAAAAATGTGTAATATGTTGAAGGATAACATTACACCCGTCACCTTTGCAGAGGGGAACACCGGTACATAATAGCGTTCTCAGCAAAGACATTGCATGATTTTGGCCCCGAGGCCATCGACTGACCAGTGCTCTTGCCCAAACTAATCATATACTACATTTAATATGAAACTGTTTTGCAACAGATATCATGCTTTCAGTATTTTACATCCTTCATAGAATATTGTAAGTCGTATACTTGTTTTATGCAATTTTATATTAAACGTAATATATATTCAGAAATCATAACTATAGACACTTTTAAGGGTGACAGGTGAATAAGGTTTTATTCACTGCTAGATTACTTGACAACGTGAGTCATATAACAATAGATGGTTAAAGATTGAATATATTCGCACATATAGTGAGTCACTTCAACAGATGTTACATGGATACATATTTTCACGATGCCAATCAATATACACGAACAATATAAAAAGTTCCAATTATTCATTCAAACATACAAATACAAAATATACTTGATAACCTGCATATTATATCAGGGTAAAACAACTTTAATACACCATGAGCGTTAAACAAAACATGAGGCTCAGATATAATTTCTACACGTACCTTTGCATGCTTTCACTACGAGATCGACACAGTCCTCTCTATTCTGTCGTCTCAATGCATTCAGAAGGACGAAGACGGTGCTCCCACTTCTTTTACCCCAATCTCGGAGCATACGACATCCTGGAAATACCTGAGCAACCTGCGCATGGCGTCTGATCTGCTCCAGTTCAGCTACAGAACTGATACCTAGCTCTTCCGCCACCCCTTCCCAATTGCCGGTCACCCCACGGACCTCATTGAATAGCTGCAACCCCAGGTTATCCAGTGCCTGACCGGGTAGCTGATCCACCCGCAGATCCAAAATCTGTGGGGACAGATTTTCGATCGAGGACACCCGTCTCTCGAGATCCATCCTCCAACTCTCGCTCATGATGAAAAATGTAGTCCGTTCGTATCTATACAGATATAAAGTCCTTCTTGGAAAGTTATCTTTCAATCGCGGAAGTCCCTTTGGATGACATGCCCGACCTCAATCGGCCTCGTCACACCGCAACAGGTCCACGGTCACATCGTATCGATATAATGTCGGGATGTGTCATCTGGCGTCTAATCAAGTCATTCCCTCTTTTTCATCATAGCTTCTGTTGATATTGAACACTGTTCGCCGTTGTAAGCGAGTGTTTACTGTTTCGCCGAAAGGTGTTGTGACTTGAAACATGCCTACACACGTCACAAGAAGACTGGTTGCTGATTGGTTGTTGTAAATAGGTCGGGGGAAGTCGTTCTATTGTCAACACAATACGTCATGACCAAGAGCAGGTCGTGTGCATGAACTTTTACCGATCGTCTTGCGACACGCTCTGATTGACACCATGTAAAGAGAATTTTTTTAAGCTACACAGATGAAATTCTGAGGAAATAATGTCAAAGCGAACGGTTTAATACAGATGTATGTTTGTTGTGTGTTCATGCTTTTATGCTGGTTTTGTGGATGGCATGGGTGGATACAGGGGGGGGTGCGGGGGTGCGCACCCCCCCCCCCTTTATTTCGAAAAAAATCTTTATTTCTGTATAAATTACCACCAAAGACAATAAATAGATCTTAATTGTGCTGTAGCCGCCCATGGATGGATGTAACTACACGTAGTACCATACAGCGAAACTTCACTGAGCCGGCCTGTTTCAGTTAATCTTCTGAATGAATGAATGAATGAATGAATGAGCGAATGAATGAATGAATGAATGAATGAATGAATGAATGAATGAATGATATATTTACAGATGTACTTCCTTTGAATGTTTTAAGTCTATTTATTTTTACAAAATGTGTGAACCTGGATTGGTAGACAAGTAACGACTTATATTCATACCGCTTTAGTTTTACGTACAATGTCATCAATTATAATGTACAGTCAAGAGTAAGTAAGGTAATTATTGAGCATAAAGACACAGTTGTCGACTCTGAAGAGAAACGTTGTCAGCAAAAATCAGATACATGTGAGATTAAGCGATAGTGTGCTCTTAAAAAAATTTAAATCTAGATTTTCCATGATTTGTCACGCCTTCCTAAAATGCTGTTCAAAGTGAATTCACTAACACTTGTCAAGAAAACGGAGTTAGTTTAGGAGATTTCTACTCTGCATTAAACCGATCTGGTATCCATTATGACCTACTTCAACGAACACAGCGTTGTGGATCAACAAGGAAGTTGACTGAGGTAAATATGTACCTGTTTTCTTTAATGAAATACATGATATCGAGACCGCCTCCGCAGTCTAGTGGTAGAGGTCAGATTTTTTATCCCCTGTCCCGTCATATTAAAAGACTCGGCTCGGAGTCAGTATAATGTGTTTGAGTGGGGTATTCATGTTAAACTGCAGCATGGTATCTCGGCATTAGTCCGGACAAGCAGCCACACACACACACACGCACACGCACACACGCACGCACGCACCCACAGACACGCACACGCACACGCACACACACACACACACACACACGTCGCTATGCAATAATCTTGGACGCGACGTTAAACCCCAGTTTACCTCATCTCGCATGCTCTGTAATATATATATCGCCAGATCCTGTGAGGTGAGGTAAAATGGGGTACATGCTTGGCAAATTATAAGCATATGATGTTTGCAGTAGTTGTTTGTTTGTTCCACGCCGCTCTCAACTAAAGTACAGATTTATGACGGCAGCATGTCTGTTTGGTTTAGTTGTTGTTTAACGCTGCACTCAGCAATATTCCAGCTATATGATGGGTCTTCAGCAACCCATGCTTGCTGTAAAAGCATCTATGCTTGTCATAAGAAGCGACTCACGGGATCGGGCGGTCAGGCTCGCTGACTTGGTTGATGCATGTCATCGATCCCAATTGATGCTCATGATATCAATCACTGGATTGTCTGGACCTGACAATCCAGTGGTCATGAGCCACGATCCTAGCAAGTGGGATCAATGACATGCATCAACCAAGTCAGCGACCCTGACCACCCGATCCCGTTAGTCGCTATATGGCTGGAATAATGCTGATGCGAGGTGAATGTTTTAACATACACACTTGTCACCTGTAACAAGCACGGGTTGTGGAAAACCTATTCTCTTCCCGGATCTTCACGGGGCCTTGGAGTAAGTAAACATGGAAAACTGAACATGTGATGTAAATGTATACAGAAGCATGGCATTGCATAAACAATTACCCGTGAAGATTCCGGGGTAGAATAGGTCTTCAGCAACCCATCCTTGCCGTAAAAGGTGACTATGCTTGTCGTAAAAGGCGACTAACGGGATCGGGTGGTCAGGCTCGCTGACTTGGTTGATGCATGTCATCGGTCCCAATTGCGTGGATCGATGCTTATGATATTAATCACTTGATTGTCTGGTCCAGACTCGATTATTTACAGACCGCCGTCATATAGCTGGAATATTGCTGAGTGCGGCGTTTAACAACAAACCAACCAAAAAACCCAACCATAAACAATATTTATGTCCACAATCGTGTTTACATGTACCTTACCTCAGAACTAGCTTAAATAACTGTTCTCGGCCGGAAGAGCGGTAAGTTGTCATACGCAGCTATTTAACCTAAAGGCAGCGGATAACGCTTGCAAAGTTTGAAGGGAGTTTGCGCTGTGATCAGATCAGATTGATTTTTGTATGTAATGGCGGTGTTATTATACCCATTGCACAAAACACGACTAGTTTGATTTGTTGGTTGTGTAACGCGGCACTCAGCATTATTTCAGCTATATAACGGCGAATAATCGAATATGATCCAGACAATCAAGTGACTGATATTTGAGCAACGGTCCGCACCATCTGGGTACGATGACGCGTGATATATCAAGTCACCGAGTCAGACCATCCGATCCATTAACCTGTTACGACCAGCATAGGTTAGTGGGGACCAGTCCTAACCAGAATCTCCTCGGGAGGCATGTGGGAACAGAAACCGAAACAATGAAAAATAAGCATGTGTACAAAAGCATACAAACCTCGGATATATTAAAGTAGATTTTTACATTTTCCTCACGCATTGCGAACTGGAGAAAACAAAAATTTGATTTTCTTTGTTCCTGTAATTTCACTCATGCCCAAATAACACATATTTTCGGGCATTCTAGCACAAGTGTTGGGAACTATACAAAGAAAACATATATAGACGACCCGTGAAGATCCGGGGTAGAATAGGTCTTCAGCAACCCATGCTTGCCGTAAAAGGTGACTATGCTTGTCGTAAGAGGCGACTAACGGGATCGGGTGGTCAGACTCGCTGACTTGGTTGATGCATGTCATCGTATCCCAAGTGCGAGGATTGATGCTCATGATGTTGATCACTAGATTGTCTGGTCCAGACTCGATTATTTACCTACCGCCGTCATATAGCTGTAATATTGCTGAGTGCGGCGTTAAACAACAAACCAACCAACCAACCAACATATATAGACAGCGACATCTATGATCTGTGCAAATATCGGATATGACAAATTTCAGTGTGATTTGCACGGGTTACATGGTGACATAATATCCGGAGATGACTGTATTGACTGCATGGAAAAATACATTTTATACATTCAGACTGAAAATATTTATAAGACATTGAAACTTCAAAATGTGATTTGTTTGGACCAGCACCAGACCCCCCGATCCCCCTTTTATATCGACCCTTACTCGGGATCTATAGAACACGGAATCCCCACAGTGCATCGGCTCAAGTATATTTGTTCTGTCGTATTTAATATGTACACGTTGACTCTACACACTGTTGGATATGCAAATATGATTAATGAATATTCAAAATTGTTTATTCATTATTCATAAGGTTCAACAGTATTAATTATTCATAAGGTTCAACAGTATTCATTATTCATGAAGTTCAACAGTATTCATTATTCATGAGGTTCAACAGTATTCAGTATTCATGAAGTTCAACAGTATTCATTATTCGTGAAGTTCAACAGTATTAATTATTCATGAAGTTCAACAGTATTAATTATTCATAAGGTTCAACAGTATTCATTATTCATGAAGTTCAACAGATTTAAGTATTCATAAGGTTCAACAGTATTCATTATTCATGTGGTTCAACAGTATTCATTATTCATGAGATTCAACAGTAGTCATTGTTCAAGAGGTTCAACAGTAGTCATGATTCATAAGGTTCAACAGTTTACATTATTCATGAGGTTCAACAGTATTCAGTATTCAAGAGGTTCAACAGTTTTCATTATTCATGAGGTTCAACGGTATTCAGTATTCAAGAGGTTCAACCGTATTCATTATTCACGAGGTTCAACAGTATTCATTATTCAAGAGGTTCAACAGTATTCATTATTCATGAGGTTCAACAGTATTCATTATTCAAGAGGTTCAACAGTATTCATTATTCATGAGGTTCAACAGTATTCAGTATTCAAGAGGTTCAACAGATTTCATTATTCATGAGGTTCGACGGTATTCAGTATTCAAGAGGTTCAACAGTTTTCATTATTCACGAGGTTCAACAGTATTCATTATTCAAGAGGTTCAACAGTATTCATTATTCATGAGGTTCAACAGTATTCGTTATTCATGAGGTTGAACAGTATTCATTATTCATGAGGTTCAACAGTATTCATTATTCTTGAAGTTCAACAGTATTCATTATTCAAGAGGTTCAACAGTATTCATTATTCAAGAGGTTCAACAGTATTCATTATTCATGAGGTTGAACAGTATTCATTATTCATGAGGTTCAACAGTATTCATTATTCATGAAGTTCAACAGTATTCATTATTCAAGAGGTTCAACAGTATTCATTATTCATGAAGTTCAACAATATTTATTATTCATGAGGTTCAACAGTATTCATTATTCTTGAAGTTCAACAGTATTCATTATTCAAGAGGTTCAACAGTATTCATTATTCATGAGGTTGAACAGTATTCAGTATTCATGAGGTTCAACAGTATTCATTATTCATGAAGTTCAACAGTTTTCATTATTCAAGAGGTTCAACAGTATTCATTATTCATGAAGTTCAACAATATTTATTATTCATGAAGTTCAACAGTATTCAGTATTCATGAGGTTCAACAGTATTCATTATTCATGAAGTTCAACAGTTTTCATTATTCAAGAGGTTCAAAAGTATTCATTATTCATGAAGTTCAACAATATTTATTATTCATGAGGTTCAACAGTATTCATTATTCAAGAGGTTCAACAGTATTCATTATTCATGAG